ATAACAGCTACAAGTGTATGCACTACTTGCTTTATGCAAGCACTATATAGGATAAATCACTATACAGGATTTACCCTATTATACTTTATCGACACGAATTGATAGGTGAAACGACAAACAGCCACCCACAAATAGTCTATAAGCAAAGCATCAGGCTGTCTTTGAGTTCACATGAACAACGGTTAAAGTTACTCGTCGTCAGGCTACAAAAGAATACCATAATTCCTCCGTTCAATTAGGCCTAAGACATCGAGAGTCACGCAGACCTATAACAACCCAGCCACAACACATAATTGCGAATAACATGCCTTACCTTAACACAGAATCGACCCCAGAGTCCAACGTTTATATTTTTTCTACGAATCTTTGAGTTAACATGTACTAAACATGAGTGAAATTTGCACCGCAGCGCCCCCACACCTTGATGCTCATGACAACAATAGCATGTATAGTTATCCTTATTGAAGTGAATTAGGTTTAAATCGCCGTCATGCATGAATGAATGATATTTTTGCAATTTTACACATAATAATCCACGATGATCACATTACACAAAACTGATTTCACAAATCAGTTTTACCCCCCCAAATTTCACAAATCCAGTTTTCAGGGGAGCCCATGTCTTATTAAGAGACATGGGCTCCTAGCTCCCCCGTAGTTCGCACCCTGGATAAGAGTTTATTTCATGTGATTGATATGAGCAGCTGTTAACTGTGAGGATTGTTTCCACTGTGTTTTCAGTTTGCAATGATGCACTTCAGTCTTGCTGTGGATTCTTATTTCCTTCCCAAACCTGTAGAGGAGATCGTAAAGAAGCAAGAGTTCAGTAAAGTTCCTCTCATTACTGGAATTACCAATGATGAGTATGGCTTTTTACTGCCCTCAGTGAGTAAAATGTATTATAATATTTAATATCACACTCCAAACAGCTATTGTCTGAATAAAGCCAGCGACAGAAAATGCATTAGTATCCACAAAAGTGGACAGTGATATTTTTTGTATGCAGGTGTATTATATTTAGCTTACTTCATGTTTGACTTTTGGAGAGAGAGAGAAAAAAAAGTGTAATTTAAAGGCTGAAATGATTTTAAATGATTTCAAAATATATGGTTTTATTGAAAACTTTTACTCCACTAAATTGAAGGCTTAAGTTCAATTGAAAAGATGTCAGTTGGAATAATTCCAAGAAAAAGTTTTCAATTATTTTAATAAATAAATAAAATAAAATCTTGATATTTAAAATGATTCTTGAACTGCCTGACGCTGAATCGAAACCATATGAAGTCAACAGGCATATAAAGATCTCAGACACATTTATGGCATAATCACATATTTGGTTTTATATTTTGATGCTAAAGTTGGATGTTATGTCTCCACAGTATTTTGCGGGTAAAGGATGGATTGATGGAGTGGATAAAGACCAAGCCATAAAAGACTTGACCCTTACATATCCTGATGTAAGTCACAACTCAACACAATGCACATTTACATTATCTTTATTATTTTAATCTTTAAATGAGAAGCACACTGGATTTCTTTCTTCTGTAGCTTACGTTTGCTTTTCTTTGAATGTAATTAGCCCAGGGATCGGTGGATCGTTGATCAGGTAGCGAACGAGTACCTGGGCGACACAAGCGACCCCATTCAAATCCGAGACATTTATCGAGAGATGATGGGGGACGTTATGTTTAACATCCCTACCATCCAACTGGCAAAATACCACAGAGGTGAGAAGCAGGGAATTATTTATCTATTCATATTGGACTATTGCAGCTGTATGTATGGAGAAAAAGGATTTCATAATACTTAAGAAACAAAGAATATTAAATTCTGATTATATTAAGTAGTTTATTACATTTCAATTTTAACATAAAATTATATATATACTACAGGTCAAACGTTTGGAATAATTACGAAAATTCTCTTATGCTCACCAAGGCAAAATTCAGTAATAACAGTAATAATGTGAAATACTATTACAATTTGAAAGGAACTGCTTTCTATTGTAATATATTAAAAAATTTAATTTATTGCTGTGATCGAAGCTGAATTTTCAGCGTCATTACTTAGCATTACTTCAGAAATCATTTTAATATGATGATTTGCTGCTCAAGAAGCATTTATTATTATTATTATTATTATCAATGCTGAAAACAATTGTGCCACTTCGTGATTTTGTAGAATCTGGGAAGCAAGAGTTAAAATAAATAAATAAATATTAGTTTCATTCAGAATTAAATCGACAAAAAGTGACAGTAAAAACATTTATAATGTGACAAAATATTTCTATTTCAAATAGATGCTGTTCTTCTCAACTTTCATCAAAAATCTTGTAAATGTATCACGATTTCCACTAAAATAGGAAAGGGTTAGTTCACCCAAAAATGAAAATTAGCCCATGAATTGCTCACTCTCAAGTCATCCTAAGTGTATATGACTTTCTTCTTTCAGACGAATCCAGTCGGATATATTAAAAATTGTCTTTGATCTTTCAAGCTGTTTAATGGCAGTCAGCGGGTGTTGCAGTGCATCAGTCCAAAAGAAGTTAAATAAAGTGCATCTATCCATAATAAAAAGTGCCTCACACGGCTGCAGAGGGTGAACAAAGGCCTCCCGTAGCGAATCGATGTGTTTTTGTAAGAAAAATAACCATATTTAAAACGTAATAATCAATTTAATTTTACATAAAAGAATTGAGAAGAACAATCCCCAGTAAAGTCACTAAAGTTATGAAAACTGCTTTCTGGAGTTCTTTTCTGAAAGTGTACGCTATCTGTTAAGCCTTTGCTCAAGCTACGCAATTGGTCAGAACAGAATATTCAGCTTTGCGCATGCGCAGCTCAGAAGTGACGAATGCGGAAGCGCAGCGGAGAGATTAAAACAAAACAACGGTCACTAATTAGAAGTACAAAACGAGGATTTGTAAAGAAGAATGTCGGAGGATTTCGATATAATTCAAGAGGAGACTGGTTTTCCTTTGCTAAAGTAAGGAAACTTTGCTTCCTTTGCTCCTGTAAACAAACGTTGGTTTTCACGAGACTCACCAGCGCATACGCAATGCTGACCTCATACGTCATCCGCCCGGAGCTGCTTCCAGTGTACAACAGTGAGCGCAAGCTAGATTAAAGTGATTATTACATTTTGAATATGGATATTTTTCTTACAAAAACGCATCGATTCGCTACAGGACGCCTTTGTTCATCCCCCGGAGCCGTCAGAGGGATTTTTTTTTATGATTGATGTGCTTTATTTAACTTCTTTTGGACTGATGCATGCAACACCTGCTGACTGCCATTAAACAGCTTGGAAGATCAAAGACAATTTTTTAATATAACTCCGATTGGATTCATCTGAAAGAAGAAAGTCATATACACCAAGGATGGGTGAGTAAATAATGGGCTAATTTTCATTTTTGGGTGAACTATCTACTATGTTTTCAGCATTGATAATAAGAATAATAATTGAGGACCAATAATAATTGATAATTAAACATAATCAGTATATTGAATGATTTCTGAAGAATCATGTAATACTGAAGACTGGAGTAATGATGCTTGAAAATTCAGCTTTGCGTAAAAAGAATAAATTACATTTTTACAACATATTTAAAAACATGGAAAACATTCAAAATATATCATTGCTGAATTATGAAAAATATTATATAGTAATATTAAATGTATATATTAAAATAAAATATTTCAGTTATATGTAAATTACATTTTAATAACAATACTTTTTTTTACATTTTAAATATACCGTAATTTAAAGTCTGGTTAAGCCTTCATGTTAATTATTTCAAAATGCAGCCAAGTAATGAAAAAAATTAATAAATAAAACCCGATTGTGCATTATGTTTACATGATCTTTTAGCTCCTCAAAATCAGTGTGAAATACTCTTGGAGTTAAAGGCATAGTTCACCCAAAAATGAAAACGGTCATCATTTACTCACTCTCATGTGACAACAGTTGACGGTAGCCATTGACTTCCACAGTATTTTTCCCAGATTTGGAACAATTGAGTGTGAGTAAATGATGACAGGATTTTCATTCTTGGCTGTACTATCCCTTTAAATCATTTTCACTTGTTTAAAATGTCTGTAAACGCAAGGTTCATTGTTGTGATTGTAGCCTCAGGAGCGCCGGTTTACCTGTACGAGTTCCAGCATCCTCCCAGTATGATCCAGAAGAACAGGCCCAGCTTTGTTGGTGTCGACCATGCAGATGAACTGTTCTTTATCCAGGGCACCTGCTTCGCTAAAGCCCACCTCAAAGCAACCGGTAAGACTCATTATTACAATACATCCTTACTGACACTAAACATTTCCGAAAGCGTCTTAAATAACCGATGATTCAATCCTCTTAGCTCCTTTCACAAAGGAAGAGGAAGAGCTGTGCAGGACTGTGATGGCCTACTGGGGGAACTTTGCACACACCGGGTAAAATATCGCTCCTCTTGTGTGTGAAGAAGAACAAAGTATATTGTTTCTGCACTCTAATACAGCTATTTTTGGATCAGCAGGTCTCCAAATGGTCCGGGCCTGACACACTGGCCTGAATACGAGGATGAGGCTGAGTATCTCGGCATTGGACTGGAACAGAAAGCTGGGAAGAACCTGAAGGGGAAACACTATGCATTCATGACCAAGACGCTCCCAGATCTCATACGTCAAAGCCGAGAGAAAAGAGAGCGCTCAGAACTGTAATCAGATCAGATATTAACACAAAGCACTTGAATATATGGATGACACAAAAAATTAACTGTGATTCAATGTAAGAATTTAATTAACTAACCTGAGAAAATCATGAGTATTGAGTTTATTTTGGTGTTAAAGTTCGAATTTGATAGAAAATGTATAATTTGATCATATGACAAATAAATGTCCAAGCAACTAATGCTTCATAGCAAATTAGCTCAAGGGGAAATGTATATAAATAATTAAAATGATAATTAATTACAATAATTTATATCAGCTGCCAGTATAACTATAGCAGAATGAATATTACCATCAACTAATCTGTTCGCCCAGCGAACCTCCAGGGGGTCATTGAGCCAATGGTGACTTAAACTTTCGGAGGGACAGTTTACGACTCTTTTGTCTTCTAGCATGGTGTTTTGCATATGTAACTGGATTGGGTGTTGGTGCAAAACTATTAAAGATTCTTATAACACTGATATGTTGCATAGGTATCAACATATAATATACACTCTCATTTAGATCATCAAAGTACGAATTCAGAGATACCAAACATGGTATAGGTGAGGCTACATTATAGTGTTTCTTTCTATCATAAGCATGCACAATACAGTATACACTACAATACAAAAGACACTATACAAGGACAGTAATAATACACACACACACTGTCCTGCAGATATGCATGTCATTCATAGAAGGTTTTCTACGAGAGAATGGGGAAGAGTCTGTTTTATGAGCATTATGTGTCTTTCCTATGTGGAAATGAAGTGAGAGTTCCATTCCTTTGAGCAATAAAACCAGTGTTATCAGATGATTTGTCATTGCTTGTCATGGTAACCAGAGGCCTGTTCTGCTTCAGGGGTTGTCCACAGAACTCTAACACATAGTTTGGTTTTGAGTGATGATAAATATAATGAATAATTGTGTGTTTGATTGGTCCAAATGCTACAGCACTTAGAAATAAAAGTCGGAAAACATTCATGTTTTTCCTCCATTTTATTGAGAACAAACGAAGGCTAAAGCTGCAAACCTCCCTGAATTTGAATGCAACGGGGTGCATACTAGTCATGAATTTGCGCTTTGAGATTTTCAAACAGGCAAACTTACATGGACGACAATAATTCAACTATTGACAATATTATGATTGAGGAACTGACAAATAAATACTTTCCCCCCCCCCCCAAATAGCAGATTAACATCAAATGTACACATAAAACAAAAAAAATTCTGAAAACTGGTGTTTTACTTTAAATATAATTACAAAATAAGGAAATTAAAGAACAGCACAAATGTATAAATTACAGTTTTAGGCACAGTGCTTTGCTAAATTTTCATTGTAGATAAATGATGGAGAGAAACTCAGATTTCAAGTCAACCTAAAAGCATCTAGGAATCAACGAATCAGGACCCTTTTCAAGATGTAGATGAGTTTGTTTCTTCATGGGAACACATTATTGTTTTGTTTTTATCAGCTGTTTGGACTTTCATTCTGACGGCACCCATTCACTGCAGAGCATCCACTGGTGAGCAAGTGATGAAATGCTACATTTCTACAAATCTGTTCCCATGAAGAAACTCATCTACATCTTAAGATAACCCGAGGGTGAGTATATTTTCATTTTTGGGTGAACTATTCCTTTAAGATGGAGGGACTTATAGACTTAAGTCAACATGAATTGAATTAGAACACTGAACAAGAAAAACAGGGACAGAACTTGATGTGATTCATTAGGAACTGAAGTAAAAAATGAAAGAACAGAGTTAATTGTCAGATTTGGCATACATTTCCACAAATGCTTTAAAATATGATTCAAATAGGAGTCAATGTAAACCGCTGAAATTGCATCTTATTTGGAATAAAATCAGTAGTTGTAGGATATCAGTCCACGTAAGCGGCCAATTCTATGAGAATATTACACTTAAAACAATTGCCTGCTACATTTCTACAAATCTGTTCCCATGAAGAAACTCATCTACATCTTAAGATAACCCGAGGGTGAGTATATTTTCATTTTTGGGTGAACTATTCCTTTAAGATGGAGGGACTTATAGACTTAAGTCAACATGAATTGAATTAGAACACTGAACAAGAAAAACAGGGACAGAACTTGATGTGATTCATTAGGAACTGAAGTAAAAAATGAAAGAACAGAGTTAATTGTCAGATTTGGCATACATTTCCACAAATGCTTTAAAATATGATTCAAATAGGAGTCAATGTAAACCGCTGAAATTGCATCTTATTTGGAATAAAATCAGTAGTTGTAGGATATCAGTTACACTTAAAACAATTGCCACTCAACTCAGAAGTTGTAAACACAGGTGATATACTTAAATTAGTTCATCGATCATATATACAATCATCCCTAAAACAAAGCTGAAATATACTGATAAATGTTTAAATATTTTCAATGCATTTACATACGTATATATTCACTTTACATTATACTGATTTTTTTTTTTTTTCCATTTTCAAATGTTAGTAATGCTGCAGTCAAATACAAAAGTATAGCCGGAGGAAATCTGCCTCCGATAAACGTCTACACTGCGTAGGGAAGAGCACTTGGAAGAGAGCTGCACAGAACAGAATCCCTATCATGTGGAAATGAGACGTGGCCGTAAATTTGGTGGCTAACCATTTAACTATTCACTTGCAATTTTAACAGTATGGTAGATATAAATTAAAGGAATAGTTCACCTAACCATGAAAATTAGCTCACTCACCCTCAGGCCATCTAAGTTAGAGATGAGTTTGTTTCTTCATCAGAACAGATTTGGATATTATGAATATATTATGAAGTGAAAAGCTGCATGTTTGTTATAAACAAATCCATCAAGATGATTCAAATTTAAACCAGTTTGGACTCTCATTCTGACGGCACCCATTCACTGTAGAGGATCCTTTGGTGAGCAAGTGATGCAATGCTAAATTTCTCCTAATCTGATGAAGAAACAAACTCATCTACATCTTGAATGGCCTGAGGATGAGGACATTTTCAGCTAATTTTGATGTTTGGGTAAACTATTCCTTTAAATAAGAAAAGTTATGGTACTTATTAATGGACGCATTATGGGGTGATAAAATTGACATTTGCAGTAACAAAGCAGCTGGAAGTCATTCGTTTTCAGTGAGCGTTGGCAGAAAAAATGGAAGCATTTCCAAATATGGTGTGGACTTTTTACAAATAAAGATAAAAAAAAAAAAAAAACTGAATAAAATCAATTAAAAGCAACTGCAGATGTTGCCACATCAAGGACACATTTCTAAAGCACAAAACCACAGGATCTGAGAGTTTGAAGTATCTCGGTAAGGTATCAGAGGCACGCTCAGCTGAGCTTATGGGCAAATTTTCACATTGTCGTCATCTTCGTCACCATTTCCAGGTTACAAAAATAAATTAATTAAAAAGCTGATAAGAAAGGCCTAATATAATACAAATGTATGGGCATGTGGCTTAAATACACCTGTGCGGATGCGAGCAGGAGTGCTGTGTGTGTGTGTGTGTGTGTGTGTCAGCAGGGAGGTCCCTGACGGTGCAGAGCGTAATACTAGAGTATGTGCCTGATGAGAATGCTAGTGTGAGGTTTGCTATCAGGATGTCCATGACTGCATGTTACGGAGCATGGCCTCGAAGCGCTCCATGCTGGGGGCCTGAGCGTGGGACAGCTGGTCGGTCAGCCGACTGTACAGACTGAAGGACTTGAGCTCCAGCCAAATGAAGCCAAAGCGGTCGTCATCGAACAGGATGAACAGACCCGGCGTGCGCTCTGGACTTGTAAAACCATGGCCAGCGATCAGGCCTGTTCCATAAAAACTGAAAAGCATAAAGGAAAAAACATATTATAATTAAAGAAATGCATTTTTTTCATCTATTTAAATAATACAAATGAATATAATGTGTTATTACATTTAAAAAAAAAATTTTTAAGTGTACTTTATATTAATTTTATGCCGTTTATAAAGTTAATTTTGAATTTCTTATATGTACTTTATATTAGTTTTAATAAAAAAAATTAAAAGTTAGAATAAAACAATACGTATACACACACACACATATATTTAAATCAAAAATATAAATTAAAATTTAAGTTAACAATGAATTTATCATGTTTTTATATAATATATAGAAATTAATATAAAATGAATAAAATAAATGAATTCATTTTAATGTCTACTTTATATAAGTTTTATAAGCTCATCTGTTCTTGAATTTCTTTAGATCGCGGCATGATGTGTTGCTCTTTAAACATGCTTCACTTTGTCAGACAGGTTCTATTTAAGCGATTTCTTGATTCAACAGGTCTGGCAGTAATCAGGCCTGGGTGTGGCTAGTGAAATTTAACTCGGCTTTCTAAAATAATGTGGTTAATCACAGTTCTTTCATGATTTAACAGGAGGGGGCAATTAATTTTTCACGTAGGGCCACGTGGGTTTGGACAGCTTTTTTCCCTTAATAAATGAAATTATTATTTAAAAACGGCATTTAGTATTTACTTGCATTATCTTTGCATAATATTAAAATTGGTTTGATTATCTGAATCTTTTACGTGTGACAAATATGCAAAAAATAAACAAAACAGGAAGAGGGCAAAAACCTTTTCACGGCACTGTATATATGAAATCATTTAAGACCGTTACAAGAAACTTATTTACATTTTTTTAAATATATTATACATTTAATTCTATTATAAGTTACATATAAATCATATACATTTAATATTTTAAAAAGTTAATTTAAAAAATTTCAATTTTTGATCATTTTATACATAATATAATGAATTAATTTTTATTATGCATTTAATATTACATTTGTTACATTTTAAAACATTTTCTTGTCTACTTTATATCATTTTTTATATAGTACAATATACTAATTATTCATTCATTTAAAATTATGACATTTATTTTAAGTATTTCATTCAAGTGATTATTTCGGTATAATAATATATAAATATATAATTGTCATATATGATATTTAAGATATTATAGAGACAAAAAAAATATAAAATTATATAAAAGTATTTACTTTCACAAATAACATTTGGTAATTGATTTAAATTAATTCACTTAAGCCTATTTTATCAAATATTATTAATTATTATTAAGGTATAAACAATACAATAAAATTAACAAAGGTAATAAAAATATAAATACTGTTTAAATAAACGTGGATTCATATACTGACGTATGGCTGATTTAATAAGCATTATATAATGTGTACAGTACAGTAATAAGATGTACAGTACAGTAGTAGACTCACCACATCTTGCAGGTGCGAGGATACACTTCATTACGGGCCATGACTCCCAGAGGCAGCACAAACGGTTGTGGTTCAGGTGCGGCGCTGCAGGCAGCAGCTCCCAGCTCCACACCCTCCGCTCCAGCAGGGGGAGCCGAATCCAAGCCCTCCGCCCCCTGAGGGGGGGCCACCTCTGCAGCTTCTGATGGGGCGTCCCGGGCCTGTAAACCCCTCTGGGCCTCCTCATGCACCTCCAGCACCAGGCGAGAGAGCTCTTCCATGCTCCGCTGGTGCTCCAGGTCCGGCAGACGCACCGGGCGGTTCAGGTCGATTTCTAACGTCAGCTGACCTGCTGGAACATTGGGGTCACCCTAACAAAAAAAAAAAAACACCTGAGCTGATGAATATGCTAAATCACAGTGTTGTGAACAATAAACTTTTTTTGGAAATGTATTCATTTTTAATTTAGGATGTTTTATTCTACTCGTATTATTCTGTCAAGAGACAATACGGAAATGTATCAATGAAAAAAAAAAAAAAAAAAAACATGTACCAAGTACCAAGTTTCCATTGCAAATACATTGCTGGCATTTTGTTATAATTATTATTTTTATTATTTATAAATTGTTTATTTGTGTTTAACTGTGCCTCGAATAGTAAAGGTTTGATCGGTTTCGTGTGTTCCCTACCAGTCTATATTTTTGGATATCAGACTCACGGTAAGTTTGGTGGCTTTGGCCTTGGAGTCGTGGAAGCTCAGCATGATGATCTCCAGGCCGTGACTGCCGTACGTCCCTTTGAAGAGGCCCGGCTGCAGGAGGTCTGAAGGGAGGAACGGGGGCAGATAAATCCGCCGGTACGTCAGGCAATTACTGAAACCAGGAAACACACGTTTAAAACATCTGCCATCCGACCGCAAAACTGAACTGAGGAAATAAAACTGTTAGTACATTCTGGGTGAGAACAGGCGATGTCGTCGAAGGCTTACTCGTATTGGCTGGTGTAAATGAACTTCATGAGGATCAACTCCTGCATGTGCTCGTGGAAAATGTCCTCCAATGTTCTTCCCCATTCCTCCTCCAGCCACGTTCTGAACTCCTGCACAAGCACATGGGGCTCAATGTACATCCAGCCACTGCAGAAGAGCTATGGTATACCTCAAAATCTGTCCACGCAATACCAGTTTTCTACCTCTTGCCTTCCTCCAGGCATTCGATGGTGATCCGTCTGGTTGCATTTGGTGGAAAATTCATCTTTCTTCACAGTCTGGAAAGAAAAAGGTCAATATCTTATGGAATATAATGGCAAAATTGGGCCTTTATGGTAAAAATATTGTACATTTACCTGAATGTCTCCTTTATGAGGGCCCTTGTGTCCGTACATACATTCTATGGTGGCTTTGTTTTTCTCCCACATATGTATGCGGAAGAGCGGCCGTCTACGCATGGGGTCCTCCACTCGGGGATCATGGGGCGGTAAATACATCCAGCCTATGATGAACAGCCCGTCAACCTAAATCAATCACCAAAGCAAGAAAGAGTTGAAATATGGAACACTTGTAAAAATCCAGGCCTGGTCCTCTCTCGTCCTTCACTGTCGTAGCTCCTCCTTTTATCCTTCCGGAGCTCCTCCGTGGGACTCGAGACCGGTGAGTGGTGCAGGTGTCGCTCATTATCAATTACTCCACCGGCCTCGCTCCGTTCCCACGGTTCTCAGCCCCCCCGAATCTACAACCCCCTTTTTAAAAAAATTTTTTTTATACATACTTTTAAAATCTGAAGTACACTAAAAGTGCACATTCTGTACAATTAATTGCACTTCTTGACATACGGTGTTTGGAAAGTACCGTATTGACCCGAATATAAGACGATGTTTTTTTTCTTGGAAATACGTCTGAAGAAACGCGGTCGTCTTATATTCAGGGTCTAGACTTTGGCATGTCAATAATACACCCACAACAATAGGTGGCGCTAAATACGCATAATACGAGTGTGCCATGAAATACGTAATGTAATGCGTGTCGTAAAGATCGCGAGTAAAAACTAAAGAAAAAGAAAACCTTACAGCTGCATGAGTCGTGACTGTCACGTTAGCCTGATGGGACCAAACTCCCTTTGTGATTTTAAAACGTAAGACAGTACCCAGATTTGAAGACTACAGTAAGATTTAACTTCTACTGTTAATAAGATTTTGGTAGGCTACTATTAGATGGATAGCCTAAATGTCCTAATTCAGATGGGCTACCTGTTTTTTTTTTGTTCTTTTTAAAGTGTATCCACCTTTTTCTTCAACGCGGAAGTAAGCCTATGGGTGAGACTTCCGGTTCATTAGCCGCTGTAGGTAAATAACGAGGAGAATAACAACGTGCAGTAAACGTTAAAACTGTTTGCAGTACAAACCAGTGTGTTCATAATTTCTGATAATACAATAAAATAATATGATAAGACACACCAACTTTCAATATCAAGCAGCAAAACGAACTGTTTTGTTCAGCTAAAAATAGCTGGACGGAGTGGACTCAGATGAAACCGGAAGCCATACCCATATATTTTCCAAATGGCCGCGCCCATTTTTACGACAAGAAAAAGGTGGATATTTTTATAATGTGATTGTTGGTACAGTTCCCCAGTTTTTACCATACTTTCAAAACAAAAATTAAAATAGGAAAAATATGCAATATGAAAATAATTGAAGACAAAATGTGTTTTACTGAGAAAAAACTAGATTTGGCTTTTAAAAAGCCTTTTTCCAAAAGGTACATCTGGAAAAAGGGGGGGTCGTGTCTTATAATCAGGGTCGTCTTATATTCGGGCCAATACGGTAATTAGAAAATGTACCTTAGCAACAAGCTACATAATTCCGAGTAAAACAAGTGAAATTGTAGTTAGCTACTATATGCTACAAGCTACATGTATGCTAATGCTATTAGCTAACAACATTAAAGCTATCATATGATATGTACTCAAATGACATTTAAATCAACCAGTTCACTGCAATGAATCACACTTCACAATGCTACATTAGCATTAGCTTCATTCAACAGCATTTTGCAAATGCTGCCTGTTTTAAAAACAAGACTGTAACTGGAAAATCTAGTCAACTTAGTAGTGATATTTTAATATTTTTATTTTAGTCGTTTTAACTTTTAGTAATTTTGTCATGCTTTTTTAAATATTTCTACATACTTTTTTCAATTGTAAAATGTTATGGCATATTAATATGTCCCAATACAGCTGTACTGTGTTAATATAATGATATTCATCACCATAATCATTATCGCAACACGCAAGAGTTTCGAATTATGAAAATTCACACATGTAATTTTCCACCAATATCAGCTTTATTTTTGTATTTGTTAGCATTTGTGTGTGTGTGTGTGTGTGTGTGTGTGTGTGTGTGTGTGTATGATCATACCACCACATTCAGCAGTCCTCCATAGGGCCCGATATCAGGCTGCCAGAGACCCAGGATGTGTCTATAGGGATGCAGCACTGGAAAACAAGCGCAAAACATGACGTTAAAATGCCAGCCAGCAGCACACAGCACACACAGAACCAACCCCCAAGAACGTTAGATGGGATGAGATCACTTTCTGCATGGGGCATGAACTCATGAATGCATGTTGAGTGTGTGAGTATATGCAACTTATCTGCCATGCAACAACTCAGAGGGCTAATATTTCCCCACGACTGGTCACTTTAACTCATCTGCATCTCACACAGTCAGCTGATGTTAGCGCAGCTGCAATGGTCTGCACCCTTGCCATCCTGTGTCTATCACACACACACACACACACACATGCAGGACACACAGGCGTGCACACGCTCGGCAGAAGCTGCCCTTGTGCTGCTGTCACATCAGTCTGTCCCAAACCAAGGCTGTGTCCCAATTTGCATACTATCCATACTAAATAATTAGTGAAGTTAGCATTAATGCGTTCAAAATCGCAGTATTTTAACATAGTATGGCAAAGGAATTATTTCCAGTGAAATAATATATGCTTGAGGCTAATATAACCCACAATTCTCTGTGCAACAGAAGACTTTTCAGGTTGGCATTCAAAAATGGCAGGGGATGGGATGCCAAAACAGAATTTAAATATAAATAAAAAAGTAATAATGTAATGAATTTAGCTAGATGAATGAATAATGTAACAATGTGATACGTATGATGGTAATAACAACACACTTTTTAGAAGTTATAGTAGGTCCTAATAGTGGTGTCTCACTACGTACTTTCCTATCACCAGTGAAGTAAACACATTTAGTGGGTAGTAGAACTATGCAACTTGGGATTCAGCCTTAAAAGAGTGTTCCACGCTCATAATAAGTTAAGAAACCGTGACACACTGTCGATTACCACAGAGACTAGTGATTTAGAATAACACGTTTTTTTTTTTTTTTTTACTAAAACTATTAAAAATAATTGTCAGTAATTGAAATAAATAATAATAATAAGCTTCTAGATGAAAAACGTAAACTTAACCAAAAATTAGAAACAGAAATATACATATATTAACTAATAAAATTGACAAAAGCGCACAACAAAACGATTAAAACATAAATATTTTTAAATAAATGTAAAAAAAAAAACTTAAATATTTTATACAAAATTATTAAAAATATAAATAACTAATCTAATAATACTATAATAGTACAGAAATATGAAAATGCATTAATTATGTTCATGTTATGGCTGACAACAGATAAAATGGCTATTGAATTCTATACTATTTCTTCAAAATTAATTTAAAAAAACCCAATCATTTTAAATGCAACAAGTAAACTTTTACTTTGAGATTGGCCAAATATTACATTTAACAGTTATTATTAGGTGTTATAAAGATTATGTTTAAGTTTGCACAGATGATATCAAAGATAATCTAATTGTAAAAATAGAGAAAATGAGCTGGACAATTAAATTACCCATGTATCAAACAAAACCCTAAAGAATCCCTAAAGAAAATAATATTAACATGTTTCTCATTTAAAGTGGAAGTCAAAGGGGCAAGAAGATTCTAAAGGGTTTATATTAATACTTCCATATAAAAAATAAAAAAAAGTGTTATTTGAAATCTAAAGTTGTCTAAAATTGTCTTTTTGGAGGGACTTTTGTTCAAGATGGATAAACGTCTGGTAATGAGTTACTAAAAATATTTCTACATTTGAATTTAAACAGTTGCTTTTTAGGTATACTTCTGCATATTTCGCAATATATACATTTGCATACTAGGTTTGCAAACTTTACATCATCATGACAAGCTGAAAGATTTTATTGTCATTTCTATTTTTGTTGTAATTTTTAATTTTCTTGTAGTGTAGTGTAGTAATATGACACTATTTTATCACTCTTTCAAAACAATATTTACTTTTATCTTGCCACACAGATTTGCACTGCTCAATGCCTACTGTGTACCGTTACATTTTGCTTGTTTTTTTTTTACAAACTAAGGACCGAGTCAGTAATATTTTTATTAATTCAAATATTACTACATGGTCTTAACTGACACCATATTCAACAGTTTTACTTTAACTCAATGAACCTGGAACAAAATGTAAGCAGGAAAGAGCATCTTCAACCAGCAGCTTGACAGGCAGTGACTGGGCTACACCACAAAGCCTTCACACACATGGCCAGTACATACAGTGTGTGTACACGTCCCGATAGTCCATATGCTCATAATCAGGGAGGAGCTTCATAAAGCGTCCCGACTTCACCTGCGGATTCACACCTGGACAGGTACACAGGTGGGTGTGCCACAGGAAGAGGAGAGAGGCAAAGGAGGACAACAGCTGAACCACAAGGCAGTGTGAGAGTGACACTCACATATGCCAGTGAAAATGAATGTGTACGGGGCTGTGAGAGTGAAAAGTGTTTTGTTCGCAGTTTGTCTGTCACTTCGGAGGATAATATTTATTTAATGGTGCATATCCACACTTTTAAATCAACTGAATTATATTCAAACACCACTCTGACTTCTGAGGAATCTTTCTCTATAAGCACCAGCCGTGCATGTTTTCAACTGTTTGAAATATGTTTGGTTTAAACAAACATCGATGCTAAACTTCCTCTGCAGACAAACCAACCCAACAAAGTGGGTGTAAAGGAACATAAAGTGTCTTTTGTGAGCTGAAGTAAATGTAAAATGCATTGTGAAAATGACAAATGACATGTAATGGGGTGGAGTGACAACATTAACAAACAGATCTGTTTGTCTGAACAATTAACTGTTTGTCCAGAGTTCCAGGGTTGTTAAACTAAAACTATTAAAAATAATTTTTGGTACAGTAAAGCTGATATCAGATAAAACAGAAACATTACATGAAAAAGGAATAGTTCACCCAAAAATGATTTGGAGAAATGTTGCATTATATATCAGTTGCTCACCAGTGGATCCTCTGCAGTGAATGTGTGCCGTCAGAATGAGAGTCCAAACAGCTGATAAAAACATCACAATAATCCACACCACTCCAGTCCATCAGTTAACATCTGGTGAAGTAAAAAGCTGCATGTTTGTAAGAAACAAATGCCTCAAGACTTCGAACCAGCTAAAATACGAGTACTCTATCCACATTATTGATTTCTGCAGTGAAAGAGTCGTCTCATCTGAATCAGGAGAGAAATATGCACAGATCAAGCGCCGTTTACAGGTGAAAACAGTCCAACACAGTTTTAAACAAATATACCAAATATGAGATGGACTTTTTCACTGGAGGAAGCATTATTATGGATTATGGACTCATATTTTGGATGGAAGCAATGGTTTAAAGTTAGAAGGTCTTAATGAAGGATTTGTTTGTTACAAACACACATTTTTTCACTCCACAAGACATCAATTGTTGGACTGGAGTGGTGTGGATTATTGTGATGTTTTTATCAGCTGTTTGGACTCTCATTCTGACGGCACCCATTCACTGCAGAGGATCCACTGGTGAGCAAGTGATGGAATGCTACATTTCTCCAAATCTGTTGCAGAGAATCAAACTCATCTACATTAGGGATGCACCGATATGAAAATTTTGGCCGATACCGATAACCGATTATTCTTTATTTTTGAAAGCCGATAACCGATATGTTGGCCGATAAATCTATATCCAAATTGTTATATACTTTTTGAGAGCCTGATTACAAAAAAGGTCTCATCATTAAAAGCCACATCCCAAACACTTCAACATAAGCAGCCTAGTTTGAACGGTGTACGTTTTAAACATATTTTTACTCTCCAATTACCAAATTTTGTCATAAAAAAAGTCTTACAAATAAATAAAATAATGCATAAATAATGCAAACAATTCACTGGACATCATTACACGTGTAAAGAATCAAAATGAATGCGCCACAGATCAATAAAACAGAATTGTATATAATGTTATATACACAACATTCCCAATCATAGTTATTAATGTTGTGCACTGCTGTTTGAGCTGCGTGCGCTGAGCTAAAGACGATCACCGGTAAACTGAAGTGCTCTTTTAACTTAACCAAACGCATTCTATATGAGATAAATCAGATATACATCAAATAAACACAATATTACAACGTACAATTGCACAAAAGGCTGCAAACGAACAGCGCGCATCTGAAGTGTCTCTGAAGGAAATAATGCATTATTTATCGGCTTTAAGATATCGGCCAAATTTTCTTATCAGGCCGATACCGATAACAGAAAAAATTAGCATTTATCGGCCGATACCGATATGGTGGCCGATATATCGTGCATCCCTAATCTACATCTTGGACGGCTTGAGGGTGAGTACAATTTCAACAAAGTTTTATTTTTGGGTGAACTATTCTTAAAAAAACAACAACAACGCAATAATTATTTAAATTCATATGAACTGACAAGGTGACTTCTGTGGTTACAGTAGATTTACTTACGTTTCACATACAGATCTCGGCTCGACATTCCCAAGATCTCCATCTTCCGCAGGTCATCTCTCATACCAAATTCTGCAAGAAGAGAAAAACTCATGACAAACTGCACCAGCACAGTACAGTCTAAAGAAAACAACCAACCTGGATCAAGACCATGTCAACTAACTTACTTGTCTATTCAGTATCTTTCATTTCAGAATAAAACTGAATGCAAATAGCTCCTGTGCAATCCTTTAAGTCGATGATCAACACAATATGCAAGTTTTCGGTGTTCTATGTTATTGTACACGTGTTAAAGCCTGTTAAACAGATGGTGGTGTGATACCTGTTAGACCTGAGATAAGACAAACGACACCCTCACAGGGTCATTTAAATCTCATTAACACATCTGAACATGTTGTCAGGTGTTTCCCACCAAAGGTTTTGGCCAGTCACTTGACTTGTGCACCAGAATTTTCAAATAACGTATTTCATTCCACAGCAACACACTGACAGGCAAACATGAACTTTAATTTATGTTCATTTTCTGCAACCATTGCATTTGAAAACCTTTTGAGCTGCCTATCTGCACAGCCTTTTTAAGGATTTTAAAAGCCTGCCTTTGATGCCTAAAAATGCTGTCTAAGTTTGCAGGTCAATGAGTTTTAAGACACTGTCCATTTCTGAACTAATAGTGCATGATTCAATCACCCAGAGCACTGAAAGTCAGGCCACTTTAATAGCTAAATACACCTCAAAGATCAAGAACAAACAAGGAGATTATGAAAAGAAGAAATCAAATGTAAAACATGCACCAAATGCAGCCTTTTGTGTTCATGTTGATGTTAAACACCATATAATTTTTTACAAAAACTTCAATGACTCCGTAAACTTCATGTGATTCAATAAATGATTGCATGTGAGTGTACGCATCTTTTATAAAGTAAAAGGGGGGG